ACAAACACAGACACACACACACACAGAGACACACACAGACACACACAGACACGCACAAAAACACACAGACACACACAAACACACACAAACACACACACACAAACACACATACACACACACACACATATATATATATGTATATACACAGAGGCATGGTGGCGCTCCAGCGGCAGACAACGAAAAAGCTGCAGGAATTGCAAATGTTTCGGCGGCAGGCAAGACAGTTGTACAAGCATCCTGGCACGGCAAGCAGAAAAAAAAAAACAAAAAGGCAAGCTGGCGCTCAAGCGACAAGCGAAAGAATCAATACACAGGCATGCTGCGCTCGAGCGCTGGCGCACCAGCGGCAGGCAAAAAACACACACAAACACAAAGGCAACCTGGCACAACAACAGCAGCAGCAGCAACAACAACAACACACAAAAAGAACAACCTGCTTGCCGCTGGTCCCGAACACCACATGTGGGTTAGTCCACATCTGACGTGCCAGTAATCACACGCGGCCAAATCGTGTGACGGTGTCCCTGAGCCTACCACCCGCAGTGGCCCCACACAGCTCGGGGGCAATGACAATAATCATAACAAGGAACAGCAACAATAAGATTAACCGCAATCATAATAATGCTAGCAATAATACTGATAACCATAATGATACTAGCAATCATTAACCCCCCCCCCCCAAGCACCAAACCCCAGCCCAAAACCCGAGACCCTCAATTGTTGCAGTGCTTTCGGCCTGCCCTTCTGGAACCATATCATGCTGTGGGCGATAGCACGCAGGTTTAAATTTATGGTTTAGGTTTATAAATCCCGAAACCCTAAACCCTAAACCCCGCTCCTATTCTAAACACACGGCATTGGGTGTACTAGACCCTCCTTCGACCCGAAATACCCATTATTAGGGGCCATATATCCTTATTTGAGGGTACAAGGAGGGTCCTAGTATGAATTACTTTTGTTTTTGGAGGAGAGGCCTTGTCGTACCTCCTTATCGTACCGGGGGATGCAGTAGTAGTAGCAGTAGTAGTAGTAGTAGTAGTAGCAGCAGCAGCAGCAGTAGCAGTAGCAGTAGTAATACCAGAATTACTGGCCTCGAGCTTGCAGCAAAGAGTAGTTTGGGCCATGGTACCAGATATGACTGTTTCTCTAGCAGTTAGCATGTCTACTGAGAAGCCTGGTGTGCGTCTCGTAGTAAGAAAAGTGGTAAGCACAATGGAAAACATCAAGAAGGGTAGGCATGGACATGAGGCCTTGAAGCCATCGCAGGCCCATCCCCCATGCGCCCGCCCTCTTTGTGCATTGCATCCCCTGGATCCTTATACATCCGGTTAAAGTCTGAATCTACGCCACAGCCCTAAACGCGAAAGCTTTGCGGGAGGCACTCTGGTGTTGAACTGCCCATGGTCCGACGCGGTCCAGCCCTTATGTTCTGAAGTCGAGTCTGGGGAAATTTGGTGTCCAGGCCAAGAGGTTTTGGTCAGGCTTGCGAATGTCTGAAGAGATTTGGGTGTCTTGAGACTGAGCCCAAAACCCTAAACCCTAAATCCTAAACCCTATTAGCTTTCGCGCGGGCAGACCTGGTTTCCTTGGAAGCCCAAACTTTATGCAAGCCCCCCCCTCCAAAAAACAAGCTTTCTAGCCTCAAAGGACAACGGTTTAGAGTTTGGGGGTTGACGGGTTTCGGGTTTAATAATTAAAAGTTTTAGGGCAACAGGGTTTCGGCTTAGGGTTTGGATGGTAAACGGTAACCCCTATAATCCCTGAGCATTCACAGAGGAACCGTGGCAAAGTTCCAAAGTCAAGAAGGAGCGCGGAAGCCCGAAAACCCTAAGCCCTAAGCCTTATGAACCCTAAACCCTAAACCCTGAACCCTAAATCCTAGAACCTAAACCCCTAAACCCGTAAACCCTAAGCCCTAAATCCTAGAATGGTAGCAGATGGAAGCTCTATAGGCCTTAAATCCCGCAGGAGCAAGCGCCTGAAACATCTAACAGCCCTTATGACCCAACCTAAAAGCCACTAACCCTAAACCCCAAACACATAATATGACCCAACCTAAAAGCCACTAACCCTAAACCCTAAACACTTCACTAAACCCTCAACTGCAACACGAAAGCCAACTTATGACCCAACCGAAAAGACTTAACCACATAATTAAGCCCTCAACTGCACCACGAAAGCCGAGCCTCCCAAATGTCACACCCTAGAAGCCCTCGAACATGCCTAGATCCCAATTTCGGAGGAGCCAAAAGAGCACAACATTACTAAACCAAAAGCTGCAAACCCTAGCTATAAATCCCCTAAACCCTAAACACTAAACCCCTAAACCCCTAAACCCTAAATCGCATGAAAGCCCCTTCAACCCTAGAATGGCTTATTGCCATGCTAGACATCGTGAACTCCCAAGGGCTTTGGGTTCCCTAGGCCCGAAAACGTTTGAAGACCCCCCCCCCCCCTAAACCCAAAAGCCCTCCATTTAGGGTTTAGGGTCATGGGGTTTAGGGTCCGTACACCCTAAAATGCTTGAAGCCCCACCCTAAACCCTAAACCCTAAAGCGCCTGAAGTCCACTAAAGGAGCTGGAGTCCGTTCTCCCGGCCCCCTTCCGGAAGATCGTCGGGGAGAAGAAGCTGAAGGCCAAATCTTGGCTAAGGTAGGGGCCGAAAGTTTCGGGTCTAGGGTTTAGGGGTTTGGGGGTTTAGGGGCTTTGGGGTTTGGGGGTTGGCGTAGGGGCCGAAAGTTTGGGGGTTAGGGTTTAGGGTTCCTTTGGGGGTTCCGGCAAAAATGTGTCTATCAGG